ATATATATATATATACTGTATATAGCTAATGTACACTCAGGCGGTCCTTGTCCCAAAATAAACCCCTTCACAGTAATACATGTGGGTCTTGATCACCCTTCAGGGTTTATGATAATGACCGCCTGGCTGTACATTACAACTTTCATTATACAGGCAAAAATATCTGAAGCTTGAACATACAACTTTAAGCTCTGGATATACTGCTTCAAGTGAGACAAATTCCATATATCGGGCAAAGCCTTCATTCAGCCATATATCATTCCACCACTCCATGGTCACCAGGTTACCAAACCACTGGGGAAAAACAAACAGTAGTAAAGATGCTTACATTTAACTTACAATTACTCGCTTACATTTAATAGTACTTTACTCCTGTAATTCATTGGCTTAGCTAATACCAGATGTGATGGAGAATGTATTTTATATATAACCTGATGGGCCAGCTCGTGTCCTATCACCAGTGTAACCCAGAGCTTATCAGAGGCTGATGAGATGTCAGGGTTGTACAGAAGAGATGTCTCCCTATAAGTAGTCAAACCCCAGTTCTCCATAGCTCCTGACTGGAAATCTGGAATCGCTATCAGGTCTGGCACACATCATAAAATAAACAAAAGTAAAAATATCCAAAGGCACATCATATAACTTATGCATTGAAACATCGGAAGGAAAGGTAAGAGAAATACTCACCCATTTTTGGCAGTGGATAAAGTATGTTGAAATATTGTTCATAAAACTCCAAAAGCCTCAAAGCAGCCTCAAGAGCATAGTGTGTCTGATGCCATTTCTCTGGAACTGCATAAATAGAAATCTTTGGGAGAAGAAAAAACAGCTCATTCAAAATGCATTTCTCACCCGAGAGCCTGTGATGAAAACTTCATACAAGCAGAAAAAGCTGTTGTGTTCACATGTTTCTGCTTCATGTTGTTTAAACCTTTCTAAGCTCTAGTTACTTACATTAATTCCGGTTGCAGTCATCCCACTGACAGATCTGAAGTCACAGACAATGAAGGCCAGCAGGTACGAACTCATCTTCACACTCACTTCAAACTGGTCCTCAAACAGACCATTGCCGATTTCCACAGTTTGTTCCTATAAAATAAATATTTTCAAAATTTTAAAATGATAGACCACATTTTATGTATTTGATAAATAGTTTTTCAAAATCATTTCATATAAAAACAATCATATACCATTATAATTAACTATTATTATTAGGCCTATTATTAATTTTGAAGTAAATTTGATTCTACAAATGGGTCAACACATCGATAATGGCAATCTGTTCATGTGCAGGATATTCCAGCACTGAGAGCACTTTGTCTGACAGATGGGCCTCGTGCTCGTCCAGAACAGTGGCGGTGAAGATCTTGAGGTTCTTGCTGTGCAGCACCGCCCAGTTTGTGTTGTTTTTGACATCGATTTCAATCTTTACAGAACCGTTGAACTTCAGGGTGGTGAGATTGGGATGAATAAATAGATGATAATGTACAGGCACTATGTAGTTTGGCAGGCGCACTTTACTCCATGGAAAAGGAAGGCCGTTTGTTGCCAGGTTATCGCCAGCAGGACTATTGCTATCAGAAGACTGGACACAAAACTGTGACTCCAGAAAGAGCAGGATTACAAGCAAGAGATGCATAATGAATGTTTTTGGTATTGCTGATTTTGATGGTGATCACTTTTGCATTTTAGAAATTGTCACTGTGTCCTGTGGAGAGAAAAGCAAAGTTGGCGCTCACGTGATGTGTAAATAATTGAAGTATTCTTTGCTTTTACTGCACTAAATACTAATAAATCACTGTATATTGGTCCTTCTTCATTTGTGGTGGTAAGTTGTGTCCCTCTGCTTTGCAAATGTTGAAATAAACTTGAAATACCAATAAATTGTAAATTGTCTGCATATTTGTATTCTATCGGGTAAAAACTATTTGTGCACTATTACATTTTTTTGTAAGAGAGTTTGAGGGATTTAATGTGTAACAAAACTAGCATATTCCTACCATACATTAATGAATAAAATAAACAAAATAAATAAATGTTGTGAATACAGATTGTCCTTAAATTAACTCATTTTTAAAAGTTCATATTTTATTAAAATTTAAGAAAAAGTTCTGTCCCCCAACGTTATGTCTGCTGTGTTACAAAAATGGATACAAGTCTTTATATGATTATAAACTCACTTTTTTTCCTCTGAATTACGAGTTTACATCTCACAATTCTGTTTTTGTTTCCGCCATGAAATAGAAAATTTAAGAAAATAATAATAACCTTTTTTTTCTTCATCCTGTGGTAGAAACAAGCTTGCATAGTGGGGTGCATGCATGGTGAGTTAAATCTTTCTCATTCATTTTTATAAATTTCTGACAGTTTAATGTATCGCACTTTATTAGAATCTGTGGTGTTATGCTGCTAACTTACAGACATATTTTAATCTAAATGTTAATACATATAGACATTAATATTTCCAAAATTTCCTGTGATCTTGAAACTATCATTTTTTTTATTTGTGCCATTTTGTGTACTTACAGTAGGTAGTTTGCACCATTGCTAATAGGCATAAGCACAGGTGTTTGATTAAAATTAAAAATCTAAAAACCCATAAGCTTTCATTTGACTAAATATAGTGTATTAAATATTTTACAAATTTTGCCTCTCGTTTGCCACTAACTGAAACCTGAAATGACCTACATTTCATCTTTATTTTGCATTTCACACTGAGAATTTGTCATTCACAAAGCACTGTAGAATCCAGCACATGTTAGAATGATCAAAATGCTAATTAAAATAAAAGACAACGATCAAGTGTCCTTAAAATAACACGCATGGCAAAACAGAGCCGTGCTGAGCGTTCTCTGTTGACCTCACTCTGTAACGTGAGCCTGTTCACATTAATACATTGACATCTGCTGCGATACAGTAGGCTACGAGCTCTCTAGCTCTATTCTGGCATGTGTTTGTGTCGCGATGATGTGGTCTCTGTAAAGTAGGACAAGCATCTACTAACAACATTATTGAGGAACGCACTCATTTTAACCGTTCAGTGTTGTGTCTTTACCTGAATTTGAGCTGGATCATTGTGTCGGCTGCTTTCGTTTTCTCTTTCATTTGTCCTGCCCACAGTTTCCTGGTTTGCAGCAGTAGCTGCCGAGCATGTGCTGTCTGGCCGTGTCTCTGTATTCAAATGACAACACAGTGGGGCTCCAGCCGCCGGACAGAGGAATGACCTACAGCCATCATCACGTACAAACAGCCAGGTCATGTCCGAGTAGTAAACATGCCGGGTGCCATGTTCTGTGACAGAACAAAAACACTGAAGTTCTTTGTTATTTTGACTGTTAAATGATAGAATATAGAGAAAAACAACCATTGGCCAACAGATGCTTTTTTAAATTTGAGCTTTTCAGTACAAGTACATTACACAGTATTGTTGATAAAAAACGGCTACACAACAACAACAACAACAACAATAATAAGTGTTGTTATTGAACTTATGAAAATAAGAAAATATTGAAAATATTTAGTCTATCGCCAATTGTATTTTACTCAGATTTGAGCCGATGACTTGGACATTTCTGTTATTTTTGGTCTTTCATTATGTTCAGTAAATAATAAAGTTTTAAATGTGTGTGGGAAAAAAATCCTAGTAAGCCCTGCTATATATAAAATCAAACTAGAAAGTATTATAAGCAAAATACATATTGCATTAAACACAATGACTAGTGAATAATCTTAAAACAAACAAACTATAAAGTTTAAAGGACTGTGTACTATTTCATAATTATTTGGGTATACTACTAAAATAAAAGAGTAATGGCAACTGTCATTTTAAATTGTAATAATTGTTCATAATAGTAGCCTACTGTTTTATTTTTAATCGAATATATTCAACCTCATGAGACTTCTTTCAAAAACATAAAAATTCTTACCAACCCCAAACTTTTGAACAATGTAGAAACAATAGTAAACTGCTAGTAAATTTCACAACTAATTATAAAGAAACAGCAATTAGAACATGAAATGAAACATGACATTTTAAAGTAGAAAGACTGAAATTTTCTTGTAAAACATACTGCAGTAATCTTTGTTTTATAAATAAACTGTATTATATATATAGTACTGTATAAAAAAAACAACAACAAAAAAACACAAAGGACAAAATACACCCAGTTATTGCAGAAATAGAGTATTTTAAATTATATGATATAGTGAGATGATTTTGGGCTGTGTGATTGCCAAATATGTTAATAATTGTACTAGCTTTCCCTATAAACTCTACAACAAGGCACAAACTGCATTGTTACTTAAGACCTGAACCTGACTTGCAAAAAATGGCCAATGTCCAGTGATTGCTGCTACTTTTGTTTCATGTAAGAGACTTTTAGTAAAGATCAAGAAGCTTTGTCATATACACCTGCTCAAAACATTCTTTGAAAGTGCAGTTTTATTTCATCCAGATGTATAAAGCAGCAGGTACAGCCGTTGGTGTTGATATTATCTGTTTCTCACCACAGAAGAAACCAACATAAAACAGGTGCGAATCTTTGGGAAACGCTCCACTTCACATTCTCACAAGTATTTACAACATATCACACCAAAAAGACCATTTTTCATTATTTTAAAATACATACTTTGTCCAACAAATATTCTGAAATTCAATTCATGATGGAACTCAGGTGGAGACAATGAGGTGAATGATCAAATTGTATACACTCTTTTTAAATGTCGAATTGCTAGGGAGTTATTTTACCCTATGAATGAAACCTGATGCCAAAATAAGTGTATCAGCGTGTTTAGCAGCACAGGTCTTTGTGTGCTCCTTTTAGCCTAGCCATACCGTATTTTGGCACAGCTCCCCTGAGAATAACACAAACGATGGAAAGATTCCATGGCGGGTGTGAAATCACATGACTGAAACTTGATAATCCTTTTCACTGGCTGGCTCAACTCACAGAGCTAGACAGCATCAACATGCTTCCTACCCTCCTCACCACCATGCTTTTTACAAGTAAGTTGTAGACTTTATAGGGAAGCTAGCACAATTACTAACATTCGTAGCAATTACAAAGCTCAAGTAAAGGCACTTCATTAAAACATCATAATTTAAAATACTGCAATAACTGGACTGTTTTTGTCATTTGTTTTTAAATACATACCACACTGTACTTTTTTTGATGTTGTAAATATAACAAAAATTACTGAGTATATTTTACAAGAAAATACTAGGCTATTTCAGTCTTTCTACTTCAAAATTATGTTTATTTCAATGTTTTACATGCCATTTTTAGTTATGAAGTAATTAGTTGGTACTACTTTTTTTTTAGTGTACAGTTCAAAAGTTTAGGGTTGGTCAATTTTTAAAATACAGTAAACCATTACAATTTAACATTCTTCAGTGTCACATGATGCTTCAGAAATCATTCTAATATGCTGATTTGCAGCTCAAGAAACATTTAGTGTTATTATCAGTGTTGAAAACAGCACAATATTGTTGAGGAAACCATGATACTGATCCCAAACCTTTATAACCATCTATGCATACTAATACTAACTTTTCTGAGTCTTGTTCTCGTCGCTGAAGTGGGATCAGATGCTGTCCCTTTTGCCATCTTATCTCCACCATTTCATTTGAACACTGATCTCAACGGCTTGACCATCCTGGTGTGTGTGGTCCACGACATTCATCAAGGAGAGCTGGAGGTCGCCTGGATTTCTAGTGGCACCAGTGGAACTAATCCAGCAGTCTCGAACTTACTCCAAGGACACAGTGGCATTCAGAACGCAATGTCTGTTATATCTGTGCCCTCGAGTGAATGGTTGTCCTACACCTGCTTTGTGAGTCACAGAGGCTCCGATCAACTCGTGCACAGACATTATGCTGGATTCCCAATGGAGACGACTGGTAAACTCTGTAAATATTGCATCATTATATGTAAACATTAGTTTACATATATGTTAACATTTGTTAACTACATTAGTTCACATGAAGTAAGAGTGAAAAATACTTCTATCTGCTAATATTATTTTATCCCTTACGAAAATTAACCATGGTTTTATTATAGTAAAACTGTAGTAACCATGTTTTTTTTGGTGGATTGATTGCCATTTGTTTAACCACAGTTTTACTACAAATACTATGGTTAAACTATGGTTAGTTTTGCAAAACCATGGCTAATTTGTGGTTACCATGGTTTTTTGGTTTTATTTGTAGTAAAACATGGTTAATTTTCTTATGCTGTATTTTCATAACATTAACAAATATGAATAAATGCTGTAACGAACATATTGCTCATTGATAGTAACTAAAGGGACTTAATTGTAAAGTGTTACTGTACTTCAGGAATGGCTGACGATGAAGAAACCTTTGATACGTGTTTGGACCATCAAAGCAGTTTTTTGGAAGGTACAGTACATTTGTTAATGCTAAAAATTCAGTTCCGTTTGTTTTGTACTCATTTTTCTGTACTGTTGCAGACGTCCGAGCAAACAAAGATCTGTTATTTGTTGAAGCTCTCAGGATTCTCCTCATCAAAATCACCATTTTCAACGTTTTAATGACAGTGCAGGCCGTCATAAAATGGTAAGTGCTCATATTACTGCATATGCAATGCCAGTAGTGAAATAATTTATACTCATTTTTCGCAATTAAACTGAAACTTGTCATATTTCTCGTCTGCAAAATTGCAGAGTTCAAAAACAGCTGTCACGGATGTCAGAGTTAATTGGATGTGCTGCTGGAGGAATTCCAGTTGATGCAAATGAGAATCTGGAATGTTGATGAGCGTCTCGATGAGCTGCAGACCAGCATCAAGCCACAAGACGCAGGTGCTTCGATATGTGGGCAGATGAGTGTGATAGCTGCTCACAACCACATCATGTACACAATACAACAAATGCACTGCACTACAAGCTGCTTTTGTAGGCCATTGTCAAATATAAAAGCTTTGAATGGCATTGTCAAGTCAGCTTCCACTGTTGTGACACTGTTGAACTCTTGATCTGTCTGACAGCGATGAAACTTTGATGAAACTATTTGTTGCATGTGAATGAGATCATTGTGCATAACACTCTATCAAAGATTGAGACAGTGTTTCGTTTTATTTTGGGGGAGTTGTGAATTTTTTGCATTTATTTTTGGAGCATGAATGTTCACATTTTGTTTTAATTGCACTACTGTTTAAAAGTTTGCTGTTTTTTTGGTGAATTTTTGTTTTTGAAAGTGTCTTATGCTCACCAAGGCTGCGTTTATTTGATCAAAATACAGGAAAAACAGTAATATTCTGAAACATTATTAACATTTAAAATACTGTTTTCTATTTGAACATATTTTCAAATGTATTTCCGTAATGGCAAAGCTGTATTTTCAGCAGCCATTACTCCAGTCTTCAGTCTTCACTATTAGAAATCATTCTAATATGCTAATTTGCTGTTTCAAGAAACATTTCTTACTATTATAAATTTCAAAAACAGCTGTGCTGCTTAATATTGTTGTGGAAACAGCACTACATTTTTCACAATTCTTTGACAGAGAATATTGACAGAAATATTTTGTAATATTACGCGAGTCTTTACTGTCACTTTTCATCAATTTAATGTGTTATTGCTGAATAAAATAATTAATTTATGTATTTAAAAAAAAAAAAGTAATGTCCCCGAAATTTTGAACAGTAGTGTATATTACAGAAAAATGTTATTAAGGAGCACTTGACTTTGGAGAACTAAGGAGAACTTGATTGTTGTTTACAACTCTGCTATAGTGTTGTACAATGATACTTTTGGTCTGTTATTGTTACTTGTACTGTGTTACATTGGCTTGTGTTCTTGCTTTGGATGCAAGTCTATGCTAAATTAATTAATGTAACTGTACATGCCAATGAATGTATATGGCAATTAACCACAAATGAAATGTGTAAAAAATAAATAAATAAAGCCAGTGCATTTATGTATTTTTCATTTATTGTTTTAAATAACACACTTTTTCTTTTTTTTTTTCTTTTTTTGAACAGCATCCGTACAATACTAAAACACTGATGGAACAATGGTGATCCACTAGGTGGCAGTACAATCACATCTCAAACGTTTTTCAACAGCAAGAGTATGGAGCTTAACTTCTCTAACAAGACACTATATTTCATAAATAATTTAAGTATAAACATTGAGCAGTCACTCTTTACAAAAACAATGTTCACAACAAAAGTAAGAGATCACAAGATCAAATGCGAAATGCAAAAACACAGGATGAAGGCTTTCCATTGCAGCTAATTAATTGCACTGATGCCTTGTTCTGGTATTTAATAGGGGGGAAAAATCCCACTGTACGCTGATTTAGGTCAATTGGCCAATCAAATGATCCTGTTTCGGATTCGGCCAATTCACTGCCTGCGAAACTCCCAGTGTTCCAAATACAATCGATTACACTCGTCACAGTATTGTAGCAGCTCGTCAGCACTGGCAGTAGTTAAACAATGGCGTCTCTACAGTAGCGAGTCTTGGTATTGAAACGTGCGTATCAGGAGTGTTGGCATGGCTTCCGTAGCAGTTGGACAGTAAGGCCCAGAAGGTATACAATTCGATTTCATCAAATGAATTGTGTGTCCATCAGGCCAAATGCCACACTCAAAGCAAATAGACACATAAGTGTTTCTGAATATCCTTCAATTGCTTTGAAAGCTCTCTGAATGAAATAACTGCTGATGCGCAGTCAGCAAAAGAACCATGGCTCAAGTTGCACTTCTGGCTGACTAAATAACTGTTAAAATGCTTGCTGGGCCAAAAAAATTCTGATTTGAGTTGATTTATGGCACTGGCTTGCGAAACATGACAATACCACACCATAGTTTTTGGCTAAATAAAACGTATAGGGAAGCCGACAGTACATCTGGCAAAAGATCTGATATGTGTGTTGCTTCTGCGTCATATCTTTGGTCAAGGATAAAACAAGGACTTGAGGGAACTTAACACTTTGAACAGATAGTCAATATTTGTTTGGCAAAGTGACAAAGCTAATAAATGTAATCTTGAAAGAAGCCATTCTAGAAGATGCTACAAGTCCGACTAGGAATGAGACATGGCCCACTTTAGCACTTACGCAACATCCATTTTCCAGTTCACTCACTATGAAATTAGATGAAACTTTTAGCATAAATATTTTGGTGTCTCTAAAACCCAAATGAAAAAATACTATAGTAATTTATAGTAAATACTATAGTGTTTTTGAACCATACTATAGTAAAGTACTTGAATTAATTTGTTGTGGTAATTCTATAGTTGCTTTGGTAATATAACAACTATAGTAATATAAACAAATTACCCAATACTGTTCTAAGTTTATATTTTATATTATACTACAATGCACTACAGTTTACTGTAGTAAAAACTAAAGTATACTACAGTATTTATTACAGTTTATCAGTTAACTGTAGTTAATACTACAGTATGCTGTAGCATTCATGAAAAAGTGTTGTAAATACTATAATATATACAGTATAATACACTTTACTATAGTATGGTTCAAAAACACTACAGTATTTACTATAAATTACTATAGTATTTTTTCATTAATGCACTCTTCAGGATTGATGTTTTGTGTCGTACATTAGGTAGACTTTGTACCAAACTAAAATTCTGATTGTCATTTATTAAATGGGCTGAAATTCCAATACCCAACAATGCCCATGCTCAACGACAGAAAAATTCCCATCTGAATTTCTGACTTAAGTGCACTTCAACCTACGTTTGCTGCGTTCGCCTGAATTCTTAAGTTTGTTTTTGCTGATCAACGTGACTCCACAGCTGAGTACCAGAACTAAAAATACAAATAAAGTGAAAGTCTAGTCAACATGATCCTTCTTTAAACCTCTAGCACACAATCAATCACTACGCCAGCCACATTGTGAAATATGTTTAACACAGTTCTACAGAGCAAGATGGTGAGGTAAGTAACCTTTGTATAGAGACCTACAGAAATGTAACAAAGAAAAAGCACAGAGTGTTATATTATTGAGCACTGGTTCCGTGGAACACTGTTTTCTAGTTGCAAAAAAACAAAAAAATAAAATAAAAATAAAGTGCTTCCATTAAGATTTCCTCTCCTGAGGACAAAAAACATGAAATCTCAAAAAATTCACTCACAAAAATCTACAATATTCAGCTCTCTTGAAAACATGACTTACTCAAAATGTACAGTCTAATGAAGGTTCGTATTCTAACATTCATTCTCCGCACAGACAGTATATACAATACTTTTTACAGTCTGGTTTTCTTCTTCGAAACAGTTATCAAAACACTGCACACATTATAAAAGCACAGTGATGAGGAAGCCGGTTAGCAGTGCACTGAGGAGCAATGAAAACGGCCTCAGCCCAGTGGCCGAGTTAGGAAAAATATGCCAGTGCTCCCTCTTGGGGTGCAGAGTCTCCATGTCCTTCAGGGCATTGTAGGCGGCAGTGGTGAAGTTCGCATCTCCTGTGGTGAGCAGGTCAAACACGCAGGAGTGGAAATAGATGTCCTTAACCTCCAGCTGCTCCCTGCACTTCCTGGAGGCGCTTTCGAGGGTGAAGAGCCCTCTCTGGGCTTCGACCCTCGCCTGCTGCTGAAAGCTGGCTTGCTGGAGGCCCAGCATGGGCAGCTGAAGACGTCCCTCTTGGTCGATGCGTTCTGACGTGGGACAACCGTTCATGCAAAGCTGCAGGTCCTGCGTTTCGTCGAAGGCCATGGCGAGCTCTTCCGGCATTCGCACGGCTAGCGTCAGGTAATGGCCCTGCTGGCGTACGATGATGGTGACACCAATGTACGCGGCGTGGATCTCTACGTGCAGACCTGGCGACTTCTCCAGGATCCAGATGCTGCGGGTCTCGCTATCACCCCCGCTGATGGTGCCGTCCACAAAAGCGGCTGGAAGGTCGTCTGTTACGGCCTGGTAGACCTTCTGGTCCGTGCATTCTTGGTATGGTTTGAAGATTATTGTGACCTTAAAAGAAGCACAGAGAGCATAGTTAAAAACTCCAATATTCACTAAAAACATTCAAGTTGACATAAAATGGATATTCACCATATCTATTTTCTAAATGCATGTTATTGATCTAATTGTGATGATTCATTCATGCATATGTTTTCATTTTTCTTTTTTTTACCTTGTACTTTTTAAATCAAATTGTGACAACTACATCTTCTGGTGAAATAACAGACTGCTGGACTTCACCAATCATTTAGTCTGCTTGAGTTTTTTGATAATCTCTTTCACTCTAATATATCAAAGTTCAGAAGAAAAGATCTGGTGTTACTTCTATTTATTGCAGCTTTGACGGTAAAGAGCAAATATTCTGCACCAAGAGCTGAGAATAGCTGATTTGCTTTTTATGACCAATATCAATATGGATACACTTTTTTTTCTTATTGTTTTTCTTTTTTTTAACATAAAAAACTAAACGATCAAAAGATTACAACAATAAAAACATGCATTGATACTGTTATTAAGACCCACCAAAAGGTGCCCCCCCCAAATAAAAACTGATTAAATGTAAAAGTTATTAGTTCTTTTTTAGACTTGTAATAACAAATGGGAATTGCCAAAATAATGACTGTTTTCAAACTGGTTTCCTGAACATTCTCCATATCTGCCGTTAGCTGGACAAATAGATAGTCTCGCCACAAACACATACCATTGGTTGAGTCAATGTTGCTCTGTTGGTCCGGTCAACAAACAGAGGAATGTTTTGATAGCACCACAGTGTTAGTTTTTAGAGCAATCAACCTACAAATGGCCTTTTTACTCTCTGCATATTAAACTGGGATAGGAGAATGTTTATTAATCCTGAAAATAATAACACAATTCACCTGTAAAGGACAAAAGCGGTTTTATGCCCGGGACTAAAAATTATAATTACTTTATCGTGGTAAAACAAGAAGATCTGTATACGGCAGTTGTTTAGAATATCACATGTATTTACAGATCCGCAAACCTTTTCGCCCTGTAAGTGTTAACCATAAAATGCAGCCAGTATACAGTCCTTATACTGTGAAACTCTAAGACTTGTGGGAAGAAAAAGCACTGGCTAACAAGAAGTGTGGTGTTACATTAGCGGCGGATGAATAGCAGCTTTGTACACAGGACAAGGATGAAAAATGATGACCAGTTGGCCATAAGGTGAGGCAGCTGAAAAGGCCTCAGTTAAGCAGTGTGTGCTAATAATTACTTGCAAATGTTTAATAATGTCTCCCCACCTTCAAGGTCAAGGGGTCAAATGAGAGGTAATTAGCATCGGCGGCCAAACTTAGCATTTGAAGCCACATCTGTCCATTGATGAGCTCAACTGTTTAAACTTGAGAAGGAAAAGCAAGTATCTGACGAATGCAGTCTGCTCAGGCTGTAATATTCACAAGCTTCCAGCTACTTCAGGTTATAAAAATCTGTAAACATGATCGCCAGCAGTCAATATTCTGCATCAGCATATTTGAAATGGGTCTGAAATGGGTGTGTATAAGCGGGTTTGTTTTGAGTGTTTGACTATAAGCCCCAAACTAGGAGAAATGAAGACAGAGGCTTCTTTCAAAGTGACCTTATTATGGGTCAAGCCACAGCGCAGGCTTCATTCAGTCATTAATGATATTAGCATTTCACAGACACGTTGGTCACAAGTGTAAGTCATAAGACTAGAGCTGTTTGCTTTGTTTAACTTGCACCTGTGAATACTTGGTCAAAGTTGAAAGTTGTAAGTCTTATCTGCTTTCTGCAGCTCTTTCTGATAATCTTATCCATATAGTCTTATATATAGAGACATCATACACTTCAAACAAAGATAACAACAATGCAACATTGCACAATGTGACAACATTTTAAAATTTTTATTAGAAACAAAAAAGAAAAACTTCAATTTCACATGTCTAGGATCAAATTCGGCTCAAAAGTTTCAAGCTCTGAAATAACAATGAACAATACATTTCCAGGATCTGTTTGACTTGGTTAATGCTAATTTCTAGCATTATGAAAAATACAAATATGTTTTTACCATTTCAATTTGTATAAATGAACATTTTGAATTAATGTGAATTAACAATGAATAAAAAATTATCAAATTAACCTCGATTAATAAATTCTGTAAAGAAAACATTATTTATTGTTAGTTCAAAGTTTATGAACCAGTGTTATTTTCATATTATTCATATACTATTTTAATATTTATTCCTATTTTAATATCTTTTATTTTCATATATTTTCAGTTTCAATTTCTTATGTGTTTTTGCCATTTTTTTAGTTTGTTTTTACTTAGTTTTACTTATATTTCAGTTTAGTTTTATTAATTTTCAGTTAGTTGTCAAGGCAACATTTTTAATTTTCGGTTTAGTTTTTTAAGTTTGAGTTTTATTTCAGCTTTATTTCAATTAACGAAAACTATTTTTAATAGTTTTAGTTAACAATACCAACAGTGTGTCAATGTACTCAGTAGTTCAACGGAAAACTACACATTTGAACATAAAACACATGTGGTTCCAAAGCTTATGATTTTTTCTCTTCTATGCAACACAAAAGAAGATTTTTGAAAAATGTTTTTTGCTCATACCATGAAAGTAAGTGGGGCACAATGTTACTTTTAATTTTGATTTTAGTTTTAGTTAACATTAACAACACTGTAATGAACTAAATTAGTTTGTCCTACAAACCTTTAATTTTTTTTGCAACATATTTTTTGCAACATATGCTGCATGTCTGAGACACTTCTGACAAACTAATAAACTTTTTCCAAAGAAATCAGCAAACAATTCTCCACATTAAAAAAGACAAAATAATTATAAAATAAATAATTATTTATTTATTTTATATTATAATAATTATAATTACAACTCACCTTATTGGTTGCTGTGGCACTGGATCCGTATACCACTGGAACATTTGTGACCTGCACTGACAGGTAATTGTTATCAATGAGGGGCCATGCCCCTTCAACCTTACAGGTCTGAAAATGGTCTTTGAAAGTCCTAAGATGAGGGTCCCCAAACAGGCCACAGAACAGGTAGGTTGGTCGTGGGTGCTCTGGAGCCCCAGTCCCTGTTCCGGGCCGTGATGCTTGGTGATGGCGGCTGTGATAGTTGCATGGCTCAATGGGGATGACGGGATGGGTAGACGATGTGGGCCCGTCTTTGGAGCAGTTCCTCTGGATCATGAGGTCACTGATGCCCAGCACGGTAGAGTGGAAGACCAGGTTTCCCCTGCAGCTCTTGGATGTGCGCTGGGTGCAGGCGGAATAGGCTCGCAGCGCCTTGCAGAACTCAGTATCAAAGCCATCCAGTGAAGGGTTAAGATGGGAAGTGAAAGAGACGAAGTCAGTGGTGCACTTCTGGATACGGCACTGTGGAGTCTGGACCTGGCTCTCACCTGAGAAACGACACAAAGAATCTTCATTTCAGAAAACCAACTTGAAAAAATATTATAAATCATTCTAATCATACTTCAATCATGACAACTCTCGGAACATTTTAGCATGGTGATTAAATGCAAGGCAGTAAGCTCATTGACTGCATATGCAGCATGAACCAATCAGTTTGTGCCAAGTTGTTTAACTCTCTGAATATCATCAGTTACGTTAACACCCCGTCAGAATGCGCCATCTAGAGTTTCATGACTGAACTATATATATATATAATGATCAACTTGAATACACCTCTTCAATGATGAGCGTGTTTTTAATTTCATTTGAATATTTTTTCAAAAAAAGTCATCATGATACAACTGTCCTGATACCATAATAAAGAAAAAAAAAAAAAGAGTTCAAAATTTAATTCTTAAAAGAAAAATCCTATTAAATGGTTTGACATGCTATTTTATTATTATTTCTTTAAAAAACAATGAAGGACATTAAAGCAGTGTTGATATAATATTATTTATATTTGAAATAACTGCTTATCAGACGTCTTTGGTTTTTCCATGTTTTCTACAAAACAAAACCGGAAATCGAGGGGTTATGACGTCATTGGCAGGCGACACAACAACACTATGGACACGGTACGTGTCACTAGTTAAAATTGCTTATTTCTCTAGGTTTAAACATTCTTCGAAACATTTGGGATAATGTAAGTACACAAGTCAGCAAAATATATATCACTGTTCTAGTGGTTTTTGGATATTTTAATAAAAAAATCTTACATATTGTGCCTTTAGCTAATAAAGTTGTGTGGTACAAGCAAATTGCATCAAAAAAAGGGTAATTATATCATAGAAAGGATCCACGACTGCCTCAAGGTCAATAAACCCCTTAAAATATCAGACAATTTGGCTTTTTTAATGACAGTTAGTTCAGATTGTAAAATGTCGTCATAAAAGTATATGATATTTTTATGAATTCATGATATTTATAAAAACACACTTTACCTTAAAATTATATTTTAAAAACCTTTTGTGTACACTCACATGCATTCACATTGCAAGAAAAAAATGTCATGACTTTTTACTTGATTGTTATACCACATAACATTTAAAACTGAAAATATTTTTGAAAATGGTACAAAAGTGTTTCAAAACCATATGAAACCAACAGGAATTCAAAGAGAACATTTGCCATATATTTTAAACTAGACATTTAAAAGAATACTGACTTAACCAGTTGAACACATAAACTATGAACAAAGGAGCACAAATACTCTAACATCCATTGTTGTTACTCATGTCATAAACCAGTTTAAACTGCTTAACCATAATAAGGTGTGCTAGTGGACTGTGCGTTTCTTCGCGGCGTGACTCCATGTGTGTTTTACATTATGGTCTCGAAACATTAACAGTCGGCTCAACAAGGGTGTGAAACCTCCTGTTATCTACAAAGGAGAATGCTTATGGCCGCAATAAAATCAAATAAAATGGCACTTCAGATGAGAAAAAGAGCACAGGAGGCTTTTCTGGCCACAAAAAGCCAGCACATGTGCTTGTAAGCACAAAAGAGTCACGGCATGCAAACTACATGCAACTATTTACCTCAAAGCGTCATTAGGGTGTGGTCATAGTGTAGCAATTAAAAGGGTTTTCTTTGAATACTACTTCACTTGGAGTCGACCCAATAACACTTTTATGGTTTTATACACACTTGTTGTCGAAAATACACTCAAGATCTTGTCGTCACGTCATGCGCCGCCCCCAGTTAGCCACCAATGACACGGCACACGCAGAATAACATCAGCCTCCACACTGCATCACTTAGAGTCTTAATGCCTCACTTTTGAGTGCAGCCCAATTGCATTAGCTCAGAGAGAGGCCGTCCTAATCTGATATCAGCTGCAGCCTCTCCATTAACACGCTTGTGATGACTCTATCTTACACAGGCAGGGCCACCCATTTCTGCCTGCCAAGCCAATAACTCTGACCGCAGTGGATTCAGATGCATCTGATTTGATTATCAGATGACGCGGAGTGCTGAAGCGGATCCGCGTTGCGCTGCAGTCGGCGCTGGAGGAGAAGGAGGCATGACAAAGCACGGGCTAGATTGGGTTTCAGTAACACGCTGTAAGACAATACGGTAGCCTGGCTGAAGCCATGTTGATGTTGTGCTAGAAAGACATTGGCTGGAAGGGAGAAGAAAAAGGCAGTCCCCGCTCCCATCCACCTCCCGCTGTGTTTTATCAGGCAAGGCTCCAGTGACATCTGTACCAGAACAAAAAAACTCAAATACTTGGCAAGGCATGCAAGACAAAGCCATCTCCGGCACATTCCCATTTATAGTCCGAGCGGATGCTCGAAGCAGATGCGCACCAAGTAATATCCAAGGACCAACAAACAGCCGCTTGCTCGAAAATAAAGAATCGTGACCCTGGTAAATGGGCAAGGGTATGAAACCACAAAGGCCGTGCTGCGAACGTAACTGCATTAGGTAGGTATGTCCTACATATCACGGAGAAACAGAGAGGCTTTTCATGGAGCCCATATGTGAGCTAGTCGTCCATCGAATGCATGTGCCTCCATTGTTTCTCTCAGCAGTGTGGCGTGAGGTGTTGGGAAGGCTTTCTGTTTTTAAATATATGATATTTAGTGAGGAACAGGGTGGTATCTGGGTGGAAACTCTACACATTTCGGTGCATGAAGTAAAGCGACAAATCTGCCACCCGTCCATAATCTAATTCACAGCAATCCTGGACATGAGTTGTTTTTGCAAGTCGCTTGTTGAAACTCGTCACTAGGGATGTAACGATTAACCGCGAGCCGGTCGAAAATCGATTTAAATATGTGACGATTAAAATCGGTTGAGATGCTAAACAAATCGCGATTCAGTTAGGTGTAGGAGTTTATATGAATGCATGTCTGAGGGGGACTTACTGTACATTTAATTTATAATTTGTCTTAAATCTCATTTTGTTAAAAAAAAATTGTGAATCGAATCGAATCGTGAAATCAAAATCGTGAATCGAATCGAATCGTGAGTTGAGTGAATCGTTACATCCCTACTCGTCACCTGACAATCCCCTTAAAACCTGGTGCAACTGAATTCCCAGTCATACCCTCAAAAAGAGCAGAATAGATTGATTTTCCTTATATCCTTCTGACTACATCTTCTGTGCAAAACACTTGCGAGGAATGTCTTAGGGGACCCCCAGTTGGGGGCAGCAGATCCTAAGCTAGTACTGGCAGATGAGGGGGGGAAAAAATCACACTTTGTGTTAGAATGTCTCAGTGTCCTGACAAATGTTGAACCTAAACACTGAAATGCCAGAAATCTTTTAAAGGGGTTTAATGTAAGGCAAATCCTAAAATATCCACAAACCTAAAGAAATAAATATTTTTATACTTAATAAATCTATAATATCAAAAACTAAACATCAGATAAATAAAATATTAAATTATTAAAACAATTTTTAGAGTGCATATTATTCCTCTAAAGAACACAAAGGCACCGTAAATTTTAGGATGGATAAAACACAAAGTTGGTTTCACAGGTTCAGTTCCTTTCTGCGATCCTGCTGCTAGGGTGATCCGTCTCATTTTGAGCACAGAGCACCCTTGTTGCTATTAAGTTGTTGGAAATATTTTCTCAGGGTGGCCTGCCGTTTGAGCAGCCATTCTCAGCTGTAGAGGGGCCCAAAGAGTGTGTGCGGAGTGAAATTTCAAGATGTGGAATTTGGCCAGGGCAGAGAGGTCAACAGGCCTACGCCTTCTCCAGGAGTCAACGTGAAGATCTGGAGAAAGCAGTGGGGTTTACAAGACTCAAGGTCTAAATGACATCTCCAGCCTTAAATGTTGAGCACATACTGTGTTGCACTGAACTTTGGAATCTGGTTTAATATGCTGGTTTGTCAGCTTTTAATTTTTGTTCTTATCTGTAACGTCATGCTTTTCATAACCTTGCTATACAGCATAAGACAAATAAAAAAGAAATCATGGTGCAGTAATTGTATTAGTAAGATTTATCTCAGTAAACCACAAAAGCATCTATTTAAAAGTTTTAAAAAGCACCTTTTTACAGGTAGTCTGTAAAATCATACAATCATTAAACAATAAAGCACTATTCCAGACATGAGAAAAGACAGAGAGAGAAAGAGAACAAAAAAAAAAAAACAAGAAAAAAGAATCTGAACAGCTGCAACTGTCTCTCGCTTCTGCCAAGATTATAATCCAATCAAATACCACCGAGGGGTAGATGTATATTTGGGACTAAACCAATTGAGAGACGATAAAGCCAAATTTTTAAAAATGTAATAGCCAAAGATGAAATCAAATAACAGCACGCATGCAGTTGCTAAAAAAATTACTGTTTTGTATGCATGTTCTCTTAAATACTACATTCCTTATTTAAACATTATTTCCTTATCAAATGAAACATTCAAAATATATCACAGATCTCTATATATTATATTACAACTTTAGTATATTGCCACTGAAAAGAAAGCAAACATGTACAGCTGTCGAAAACTGAAGCCAATCAAGAGCATGAAAGAGACAGACACTTGGAATGGTCACACTAAGTAAATTTCATGCTCAATATAAAATACTAATAATTTTATGGAACATTTTGCTTATTTCTTCTATAATGATGTTTAAAAATAAAAAATAAAATAAAATAAAAATATACATTTAGGTTGTGCCATATCAATTTGTTTTCCCTCGTTGAAGAATAGCAAAGTGCATAATGCCTGACTGCCCGGGGTCCACGTTAAATTAATTATGAAGGTGTGACTGCTCAATGGACACCCAGCAGCATTCCATATCCTCTTAATTCACATTGGCATTAACACAGTCTACAGCCAGGACACCCAAAGTGGAGCACTTGACAAGGTGCCAAGTGAAAACAGGGCACCAAATGTGTAGTATTCACAATCTCCTGCTCAGAAGCCAACCCAATTTCAACTAAATAATTTATGACTGTCCAAACTGGTCAATGGCACCAAAACAACTGGAATTAGCAAAGAAATGCATAAATAAACAAACAAATCTTTTTGCTTACTATAACTGAGGAGTATTTTAATTCTTTTTTAAACATTTACCAATATCGCAAAACCCTAAATAAAGAATAAAACGGATCAAAAGCTAGATGGATGTGAACAATTGATCACCACCTTATTGCAACTGACAGCATGCTGCCTGCCATCACAAAAACAAAAGCAAACAACAAATAAAACCGAATCAAACAATCACCCGTGAATACGAATCGAAATGAATTAATATTATGATCACTCATAAATATTTAATTTCCTTTGAAAAGCAACCAATCCAGTCAAGCGCAAGAGGGACGCGTAGATCAATGCACTACATTGATTGGAAATAAAGCTACAATAACTGTGCAAGAAGAAGACACGGACGAAGGACACTGCCTCAGACTGTAAAACTGTCACATAAAGAACTAGAATCCACTTTTTTGTGAGGATATATATGTATATTAACCAGCACTATCATAATATAGCACGTAAACCCAATTCTATATTTATACAAGCGAGAATTAAACATCCCCTCAAGACAAAAACTACTTTTTAAAGGTGTTTAATATACATTTAACTTGTTTACGTTCAATGAATCATGCATAAAGTGTTAAGACAGTGTTTACCTATGTGAGTGAGAGAGGAGAGGCTGCACAGCACTAGTAGATGTAGTAGCGGAGAGATGAGGCGCTCAGCCCCGGGGTAGTAAGATCCTGCTCTCCCCATACCCATCCATCCATCCAGAGAGACTCAAGAGTACTCCACGGATCAAGAGATCGGGCCGCGCTTCTCCGAACTTCACGTATCGTAGGGATGCGTAACTCTCTTAAGACGCGACTACTTTTAGGTAACACAAACCGTACGTAAGAGAAACAAAGTAGTGATTTTGGCAAGCCCGATCCAAAACACTTCTTCCTGGAGCACGGGAGAAAAGTGCTATTTCATTTGCATTCGGAGAAGACAATCAGTCCGAAACAATTCTGTTAACGTGCTAAAATTAATCTGCGCCCCGCAATCGCCCGATTCATGTTGCCTACACACATCAGATTTCTCCGCCACAAGGAAATCTAGCCCCGTCTTTCCCCAATGATCGATAGTGAATCAACCTAACACAGAGTTTAGCGGAAACCCCGCCCACACATACACAAACCCCGCCCCCTAAACCATACACCCCCAGCAAAAGCTCTCACTTTCAGCAGGGAGAAAATAGATGCAGTGGTCCTGAGGTTTTTGTTTTGTTTTGTTTCTTTCATATTTTTGAGAATAAAACAAAGCTGGCTATCAGAACAAAATACAGAACAAAATATCAACATCCCAAACACTGATTATTTATTAAGGAGGTTCATACTTACATACATAGCCTACATATACAGTATCAGTAGATCAGTGGAAATAGTGATCAGTGGCTATATGGAAACCTGTAGCAGTTAACAAAAATGTAAACAAAACCTAAATGAAATAACTATGATAAATAAATGAAAACAAACATAAAAATGTAACTTTCATGACTCCAAATATATCTAAAATAAAATAAATAAAAACGCAAATTATTTATTTTTAAATTCTAGTTTTTGATACATGGTTAATTTTTCAGCTGTGCAAAAGAATGCACAATTCTTTACAATAAACCATTCAATTCAAGACTGTGAATGTGCACATAGGCTATAGTTAAAGATGCAGATGTAAATGCAAACCTAAAACTGTAAACCTAAAACTAAATTGAAACAATCAATCACAAAATAAATAAATGACATCTTAAAGGCAAAGTTTGAAAGCTAACAAAAATTAAACGAAAAGGGCACAATAAAAAAATATTGTTTATTACAGTTATTGCTACAGAGATACCGCTTAAACAATGTATCATGGAAAATTTAATAAGACAACTTTATGGACTTATATGCAAGTTATTGACGATTTAAACAGTCATAAGGGTGTAATTATGCTGCAGTTTATAGGAAAATTCACAATGAGAATCAGACAAAGAAAAGTGAGCCAACTATAGGATGATATCATCAGCTAATTTATAGCAATAACATACTAAGACCACAAGACTTTACAAGATATTAATACAGACCTACTTCCTGTGCTAGACAGCTACAGTGCAAGTGGTATTTATTTATAGGGCCACAAACCCCCTCTCACTGTAGAGAAAGCAGTGCTACTGCCGTCCAGCAGGGGAGCAGCAGTGTTAGAAGTCCAAGACCAGCTCCACTCTGTCAATACAATACAAAATCAATTCAAAGAGAACGTAGGAGACCAAACATCAACCCATTTTTATATAAATACACAAAATTGGGTTATGCTGTGCTAAACGGATCACAGGGATTCCTTGTTTCAAATGATAATACTGGAAATTCTTCTGTGTTTAGTTGTTTTTGTGGTAGAGGGCAAAGCAGGCTGTTTGTAAGTTGATTAGAGTATTGGAACAGCAGTTTAATGGGATAGCAGTGTGTAAAGTGCAGAGGTTTAAGGGTTATTGCCTTTAACCCAATTCCTTTTCTTGCACTGCTTAAGTGGTCAGTCAAAAATCAGGCGAGGTGTAAGAAGTACTTTGCCAGCCGTAGGATTAGAGGGATTTTGGATTTCTTTTGGTCATAACACTGACCTGGTTCTCACTTTAGTGTGACACCGCTTGGGAACCGGATTATAGAATTATCATCCAAAAGCCCCAAAATGTACTTTAGGTGAGGAAAATATCCAAGTTGACCAAATTGCATGTGCGTGATATTGGAGTCCTAATGCTGGTGTCCCATAAGCTTAAACGATACACAGAGTGTGTATTGTCTTAGAGTGCAGTGATAATGGCTTATTGATTGGTCATGGAGAGCATGCATTCAGATATGTTAGGGGCTCAGCTTGGTCCCCTCTGGCACATCTGAATATAGGTCAATGGCCAGTCACTATTATAACCTCTAAGTGTCCCTACAAACCACAAAATAATTCTGTGAGGCATAAACTTTGACATTGGATTTGTCATTAGCTAATTTGATGGATGGTATATGCAAGCTTTCATTAACACTTTTCTTAAAAATCATTGTGGTACATTGTGACCCCCTAAGAAAATATCTAAATGAATTTTAGTACAGAGATTAAAAACATGCTCATCTCAAAACAGGTGTTTTCAAGTCACGGAATTGGAGCTAACTAAAGGGTTAACTAAAACAATAAAGAATAATTGCATTTTTAATGTGTGTGTGTGTGTTTTTTTTTTTTACAGATGACTTAAACAATACAGTATGATCACATTTACCACTGCGCTGTGAAATTTCACAGGCAAAGTTCGGTCATTCCAGTAGGAATCTTCGTGATTGGGATTTTCATGTGACGGTAAAAAAGTTCATTCTCATTTTCAGATAGATAGATAGATAGATAGATAGATGGCTTGTTTGCTTGGTGATTTGCTAAATCTATGCAAAACAGATTTATAGTGGAGCTAATAACCTCAATAGGAAATCTATATCGGTAATTCTATGCATTAATTCCTATTTTTAACAAAATATACATCATTTTTGAAACACAGATTTTCTTTGTCAGTACCGTTGGGCATTGGGCTCTAGGCCATTCTTATATACTGTGCTTTGTCTGTCCAGCTGGCCTAGCTGCACTTCTCCTAATATGTCAATAGACAAGCTTGAGAGCATACCATCTCCGGACAACAACTCTCCTCACAGCTGCAAGAGGAAGGGCCGGAGTCTGAACCCAACTCCCACAAAGAGCTGACCCTAACATTTCAGCTCAGTGACAACATCAAGGCAACATGGCTGAACTTGCCTGAGACTTTCATGTCAGTCAGAGAAAAAGGCGAGCCCTGTGCCATGCCCTCCACGGTAAGAGGACAACGGGATAGTCTTACAGCCCCTCTGTGTCCCAGCAGGCACCCTTGTTCTGCAGCTGTACATGTTTAATGTATAATACATCTACTGTCAGAATCACTCTTGAGGTTGACCTACAAAATCTTGCTTTAGCAACTGGATATTTTGATTTAACAACACCATCGGGCTCACTGATTTGACACTAATTTGACGTGTACAAGGATAAACGATGTATAATCACAGACGGCATTCGTTTTACCATTAGGAATTACTCCACCTCATTTTGCGAAGGCTCTTGCTGTGTTTAATGTACAGCGTAGAAAGAAGCGCACTAAATGAAGCACGCTAAATTAACCATTCTAATGAGTTTTCATTATTGTGATCGACAAATCACCCAGTAAAGGACCAGGAGAGCGTTTGATTACAGCAGATAGAGCTGGAAAACACGTAAGAGGGTCCTGCACGCATTGTGGCAACCATAATCACGCCGATGGGACCACCCAAAGGTCGTGTTACCACAAGTTATCAAACCGCCATGTAGATACATGTCATTGAACCAACGGTGTAGCTCTTATCATTCGAACACAGGTTATCTTTGATTGGTCTTGTTTGGAGCAGTCAACACAGTGGTTCCTTTCATTCAGCAGCCAGACACAAAGCCGCTCTTTTATCTTTACTTCCCCCCTTAAGCACCTTTGGGGGGAAACAACGAAGCTTCTATTCCAAAGCATCCATTTTAATTAAAAAGAGAGGCAAACATCAGATGATGCTCAATCGTATCGAATGTAGTGAGGAGAGAGGAGCGGAGAGAGTGTGTTCGGTGTTCTTTGACCTTGTTTCCCCATTCCCAGCCATCTGTTTTGGCCACTGTCAAAAGCCTCTTTGGTGGCTCCCTGGCAAGGCCTCACCCCTCGCTAGACTTCCTCTATGCTTAGGGGACATTTAATATGGTGTCTGATACATACTGTTCTGTGACACCTCAAGACAAGGGTCTCTTTGTGCTGCTGCAGGGTCCCTCTAGAAGGTACTGCGGGGCTACATTCATACACAGACAGGCACATGGCGGACACACACTCGCTAATACGAAAACACGAGCACGCGCCCATGTGCTTGGAGCGCGCGTACGCCTCCTCCTGGAGGGCTTGGCCGAATACACAAGCTCGCTCTTTCTCTCTTAAGCACACACATAGAAAATCCGCAAAAAATGCAGCTGAAGAAAAAGCTAATGAGGCACATCTCTTGCATTCCTGCTCAGTTTTTGGCAGTGAAGGCATTTACCACAGTCGCACAAGAGAGCCTTACACAACTCCACAGGTGTTGGCTTTGCAACAGCACCTGGCAAAAATGAAACCGTTCTAAGCCGTGGACGGTAGCATTCAGTGAGCACCGCCTCAGCCAAAGCAATTACTGAAAATATGCAATGCATCCAGTGCTGTTATATTCGGCACGGACATGTGATTTTCCAAATGGGATTAAATGTTCTTTGGCAAGTTCACAAAATGGTCACTGCATGCTGATAAAAAAAATGCTGTGCAACAACAATTTTTTATACAACAGTTAATTCTGGTCTTCTTCTGTCTTTTAATATTATTGATCATATTTCGCTTGTCTGTGTTCTCAACTTTCAAAAGCAGAGCTGAAGTGACGAGGTTTTGTGTTTTCTTGCTTCAGGATCTTTTGTAGTGGGGTTTCTCTCATCCGTGAGCATGAAAAACTGGAGTGGAACTGGCTTCAGTTTGGTCTGTAACAACACTTTTGCCCCTCCTGTCAATACAATACAAAATCAATTCAAAGCGAATGCAGGAGACCAAACATCAACCCATTTTTATATAAATACACAAAATTGGGTTATGCTGTGCTAAACGGATCACAGGGATTCCTTGTTTCAAATGATAATACTGGAAATTCTTCTGTGTTTAGTTGTTTTTGTGGTAGAGGGCAAAGCAGGCTGTTTGTAAGTTGATTAGAGTATTGGAACAGCAGTTTAATGGGATAGCAGTGTGTAAAGTGCAGAGGTTTAAGGGTTATTGCCTTTAACCCAATTCCTTTTCTTGCACTGCTTAAGTGGTCAGTCAAAAATCAGGCGAGGTGTAAGAAGTACTTTGCCAGCCGTAGGATTAGAGGGATTTTGGATTTCTTTTGGTCATAACACTGACCTGGTTCTCACTTTAGTGTGACACCGCTTGGGAACCGGATTATAGAATTATCATCCAAAAGCCCCAAAATGTACTTTAGGTGAGGAAAATATCCAAGTTGAC